GGTTAGGGTGGGGCCCACACCAAATCATTCCTCAGACTGTTTCTAAAATTAACAGGTTTTCTAAGTCCTATCTCACTTAAAAAAATAACTCCACTTTTCTTTTCTAAACTCTTAAAAAGGAATTTGTTTGTTCCCTTTACGAGAGCACATCTCCTATATGAATATTGAACCTCCTCTCAAAAATAATTTTCCAGGGCCGGCCCCGTGGCTTAGCGGTTGAGTGCGCGCGCTCCGCTGCTGGCGGCCCGGGTTCGGATCCTGGGCGTGCACCGGCGCACCGCTTCTCCGGCCACGCTGAGGCCGCGTCCCACATACAGCAACTAGAAGGATGTGAAGCTATGACATACACCTATCTACTGGGGCTTTGGGGAAAAAATAAATAAATAAATAAAATTATTAAAAAAAAAAAAAATAATAATAATAATAATAATAATTTTCCAAAAGGCCCAGAAATGGTAAATATGACAGACTTTACTGCTAGGAAACAACACCATTGAAAAATAATTACCGTTGGAAAAAACATCTAGGCTTAAAGGATGGAGAAACAAAAAGTAACACTCACCATAGCTTCGACATCAGCCCAAGTTGTATTTTCTGGATCAGAAACCAGAAAGCTTTGAGGCTCATTTTTAAAAGTCACATTTAGAGTAACCTGTGGTTCCATGCTGTGGGGCTAGAGTTGAGAGGAGGAATGAAGAGAGAGAAAACACATTAGAAGGGGTTCTATAAATTGCATAAACATTCATTCAACAAATACTTGTGAGGACCTAATAAGGGTTAGGCTAGGAGGACACAGCAATGAATGAGAAGACAATGTCCCTGCTCTTCTGCTATTTATAATCTAGTGGGTACTTTAAAACAAATCTGACTGTTAATGTTTGCTGAGAGAGTGTAAATTTTGGCCACACTCACAGAAATCTTCTAACATTTGTAAAATCCTTTAGGATTTTATGGAACTTTATAATGATTAGTTAATCAGATACTTACTGAATATCTGCTAGTAGCAGGACACCAAGATGAACAAGACAGATTAGGCCTTCAGGGACATTCTTATAACTTGAAAGTGACATTCTACATTTTTCTGAGAAAAGCAGCCTTTTCCTAAATTGAGCAACCCAGGTTCTCTATTAGATCAATTTTAACAATTTACAGGTGGAAACACTAGCCAAGAAACTACACAGAGGTAGCATTCAACACCCTTCATCCAAATTTATGTGGGGTTTTTTGTAGTCTTGTTTCTTTTATGGAGAATTTCTCCAAAAAAGTGGAGAGTAATGAACATCTAACTAGAACAATCAACTCAAGGGTACCCTCATTTCATCTATACCCCTGTATCCCCTCAATCCCCCCCAATATGGATTGACTGTAGTCAACTCATGTTTTAGTTAAACCATGGTAATCTAATTAAAAAAAATTATTATGGGAAAATTTAAACCTATACAAAAGAAGAGACATTAAGAAAGATTAACATATAATGAACTCCTATGGACGGACCCATCAGCTATCTTCCATAATTAACATCAACTCAGGACTAATCCTGCTACAGCAATATTCTTTCCCTACTGGATTATTTTGACAGACGGCCATCACTGCATCCATAAAATTGAGCGTGTACCTTTAAAAGATATGAAATTTTTTTTTAACTACTTTTTTTGTGTGTGTGTGTGAGGAAGATCAGCCCTGAGCTAACATCCATGCCAATCCTCTTTTTGCTGAGGAAGACCGGCCCTGAGCTAAGATCTATTGCCAATCCTCCTCCTTTTTTTCCCTTTTTCTCCCCAAAGCCCCCAGTAGATAGTTGTGTGTCATAGTTGCACATCCTTCTAGTTGCTGTATGTGGGACGCGGCCTCAGCACGGCTGGAGAAGCGGTGCGTCGGTGCGCGCCCAGGATCCCAACCCGGGCCACCAGTAGCGGAGCGCACGCACTTAACCGCTAAGCCACGGGGCCGGCCCCAAAAGATATGAATTTTTAAAAACATAACCATGATACCATTATCATGCCTAAGAAGTTAACAATTCCTTAACTGAATGTCTACTCTGGTTAGTTGGGTTGTTGTTTTTTGTTTTTTTATTTTTTGTGAGGAAGATTCGCCCTGAGCTAACATCTGTACCAATCTTCCTCTGTTTTGCATGCAGGATGCCTCCACAGCATGGCTCATGAGTGGAGTAGGTCCAAGCTTGGGATCTGAGCCCACAAACCCAGGCCACTGAGCACAGCACACAGAACTTTAACCATTCGGCCACCAGGCCAGCCCCCAGTTAGTTGTTTTTAATTAAAGATTTTGTTTACCAATGGGTTAAGTTGGTTTCTTTTTCAGACTTTATGAAAAAATAGTTTGTTTAAATCTAAATATAAGTTGTAATGAAAAACGTCAGCTTTTAAATATATTCATCAACAAATCTTTAGTAAGCATCTACAAAGAGCCAGATTCTGCTCTGCTCTCAGGCACAGGAGACAGGAGGTGAATAAGATTAAATCCCAGGAGTTTCCAGTGTAATGGGGGGAAGGAGCACAAGGGTTGAGAAGAGTTGGGTTCCAGACACAGCTCTGGCACACTACTAGCATCTAACTGTGAGCAAGTCATGTAACCTCTGAGCTTCTGTTTCTTAATCTGTAAGACAGGTCTAATATCTCTGCTTTGCCTACATCACAATGCTATCATAAGGATCAAATAAGAATGTGTGTGCAAGTTCTTTAAAAACATTACTCATATATAAAAATTATTACAATAAATCAGTTTTTAGAACCTAAAGCAGTCCTGTTTTCCTCGGTATAATGCACTGCCCTGTGAAACAATGTAACTGAGATTGTCATTAAAAAGGACCTTGAACTCTCTGAGGATCAGAGACTTTTTTAAATCCAAAGACAATTATCTTCTCATTTTTTCCACCTAGAGCCAAGTTCACCACCAAAGAATACCAGTTTCTAGCACCAATCCTGCTGACATCAAGTATTCATTCATTTAGAATGCAATTCTTGGGGTCTTGAAAATTTGGACAGAATTACTTACTGTCCACTTCCCAGAATCTTGGGTAAAAAATGAGGGAAATGAAGTGACTGAGTCAGTTTGCCATAAGTGGATATTCTGAAACACATTCTCACTTTTCAACTTCTGAGAAACACACTTCCACACTTTTGAGAGTCCAGAAGAAAACTAATCTTTTCTCAAATTACACAATTGGAAATTAGTTCAAATATTCTAGCTCATCCAGCTGGTCTGCTGATGAGGAGAAAACAGGAAGTGGGGGATTCTAGTTTAGCTGGACCATATCCAGGTCTCCATAAAGAACTGCCTATTTGTTTGGTTTATATGTGAAAATTCTTTCAGCAAGAGCATTAATCTTGAACTTGCGGGAATGCCAAAGTTATGGTTAGCGCCAACTGTCCCTGTGGGTTTCAAGCCAGTAAAGTCAAGCAACTGGAGCCTAGGCCTTCAGCTTTCATAACTGGAACTATTCTAAGTACATGCTATTACTCATCTTTGCTTAACACAAGTCAGCTTTTCCTCTATGTCGACTTTTTCAGGATATCAACAGTCCCTTTAATAAAGCTGATCCGGGAACCTGAGCTTTGATTACTGTCTCCACCAGAGGCCTGTACAGGCTATCCAGACGTTACAACGTGAATGTGAAAGCTGGTTGTCGGACAAAAAAGTAAAAACGGTGCCTTTCCAATACCAGAGGTCCCGACCAAGACGACTTCCCTAAGAGGTTCTCAAAAAGCGGAGGGGGATGGGGTGAGGAGGCTGTGTAGGTAGTGTCATCTTTTTTTCCTAGCAGACTTCATCCTAGTCTTCCAGTTATCGTTTCCTAACACTCCATGTCGCCAGGACAGTGTCACCATCCCCGGAGGACTCGCTTTCCTTTTCTTTGCCTAGGCCCTCTTTGCGCTGGGGAGTTTCGGCCTTCCATTAGCAGAAGCCAGGCGTTCTGAGCCACGGACCCTCCATCCCTCCCGCGGTATCCGCCCCCTCGGCCCCTCAGAACACGAAGGGCTCTCTCATCCGGTCACTGAAAAGATCGGCTGCCACCATACACGGAAAAATCTCCCCTCTTCTTTGCAGGATCCCTCCCTTGAACTTCCCCAAGCCCTCTCAGCGCGACGTGACCCCACCCCCAGGTAAGCGCAGCTGCTTCCTTACCAGCTTCCCGCCCCCGGGGGGCGCCGCCGGAGGCCAGCGCAAGGACCGTTCGCTGCCAGCTCTGCTGCTATCCCCGCGGGGTGAATCTAACATGGCGGATAGAGTCAGGGCCTAGTCCCCTGTTTCTGAGTTTTCGACAAGATGACTGGCTCTTACCACTTGTCCCTCAAAACCACCACCCACTGATTGGTCGAGCATGCCTTGGAGGGGGCGGGACAAGAGCTTCCTGAGCCGCACAACAATAACAAACACTGGGGCAGAGGGGCGGAACCACGAGTGCGCAGCCGTGGGCCGGGGCCGACTTCCCCTTCCTAGGTAAATTAGGTGGCCACTGCGTTCCCTCAGGTCGCTGACCTTAGAGGACTACTTGCCCGAGACTCGCGGGGTTGGATGGGAATTGTAGTCTTTCTAGGACTTGTAAGTTCTTTAGCCTATTCTCCGCTCTCAAGATGCGAAAACATTACACTCCAATCCATATCTGTCGATGTGCATAAGCGCGCGGAGTTCCTCAATCTATCAACTGGGTTGCCGTGAGAATCGTGCCCACTTCCGGTGTCGGGAGCTCCTCTCCATAAGACTACAGTTTCCAAGGAACACTATGGCGAAGGCCTTTCGATCCGCAATGCATGCTGGAAATCGTAGTTTTTTTCCTCACAATCCTTTTATTTACCAAAACTAGAGACTTCCATTGCGGTGGAAAGGGTGAGGGAACGGGCCTCTTCTTGCGGCTGTTTTAGGCACTATCTTGCGCTCATATCCCGGCCTCAGGTACCGATTCCGACCCTAGTCCAGCATTCACTGTGACGTAATAAGTCGTAACTGGAAACGTAGAGGTGAAACGGGCGGGCGCCTAATAGAAAACTCGGGGAGAATTCTTTCTCTTCCGTCTCTTTCTAATTACGTAACGCAGGGAAAGAATGGATGACCAATCAGGAGCCCCGAGAGACTCTCGGCTCTTTCTGCCCCGCCCTTCCGTAACGTGTTTTGATGCAGCATTCTGAGAGGCTCTGGTTCAGTGGTGGTGGCCGGTTTCCGTGGCAACAGAAAAGCGCGGGAATTACGGATAAATTGAAACTGCGACTGCGCGGCGTGAGGGCGCTGAGGCTTTCTGGATCGAGGACGGTCTGGTGGGCTTTTCTGAAAACTGGGCCCCTGAGGCCGGGAAGCCTGGACGCTTTGCTCTGGGCAAAGGTGAGAGAGCCGTGGGGAAGGGAGGGGGGCCCAAGGGGTGCTCCGGGGGACAGGCGGGAAATAGGTGTTGAGAGAGTTGGGGAGAGGGGACTCCTGAAGGAGAGCCAAGACGGGTGTTATCTGGCAGGGGCGGGGAGGATGGAACCTAAGAAGTCTAAGACGTTGAGTCTGGGGAAATCATGGGGAGGGGGGCACGCTGTGGGTCGCGAGGGGGGAGGCACTGAGGATAAGGGTGGGGCAGAGTGTGTCGGAGGGGGAATCTTGATGATAAGAACTGGAATGTGTCTTGAGGGGGACACCATAGTATAAAAGACAGGCTAGTATATGTGAGAAGGGGACGCTAAGGAAGAAAAGGGAGCGGGAATGTGTCTGGGAAGAGGAGGAGACAGGATTTTGTGAGAGAGAGAGTCATTAAGAACTGGATTTATTTGGGCTTCTGAGAAAGGACAAGAGGGAAATAGAGGGGCGTCAGTAGTCACAGATGCTGTTGGCATGGATGTGCCTGAGGAGGATCCCGAGACGAGTGCAGACCAGTGGGAAACACTTGGGAAGGGCGGGGAGTTGTGGGGGGGAGCGTTGGTTGGTATTGGTTTTGTTTTTGTCTATTTTGATTTTAAGCAAGAAAAAGAAAACAGCCGGGTTGATTGGAGAAATCTGAGGCTGCCACCACTCACCAAGTCGAGTCACCCCACTGTGGCTTTCCCTTTCTTGGAGAAAGGAAGAGACCAAAAGGAGGTGCTTGGAGGCTATATGTAAAAAAATAGAGAATTTATATGGTCTTAATTACAGAAAACGACTTGTAAAATTTTTTAAAAATAAGGCTTGTGTCATTAGTTCTATGGTTGGTATAATTCTAAAGCGCTCCAATCTTAAATTTCTCTTATTTAAAAATGACAATGGAACTAAGCTGTTGTTTTCATAAACCTTTTGAAGTGAATTATTTATGTATATATTTATGTGTTAAAGTTTATTGGAACAGGAAGAAATGGATGTATCTGCGGATCGCGTTGAAGAAGTACAACATGTCCTTAATGCTATGCAGAAAATCTTAGAATGTCCAATCTGGTAAGTCAACAGAAGAGTTTATTAATTTGAGATTTATTTTGTGAGGAAGATCAGCCCTGAGCTGACCTGTTGCCAATCCTCTCCTTTTTTTTTTTTTTTTTTTGCCAAGGAAGATTGGCCCTGGGCTAGCATCCCTGCCCATCCATCTTCCTCTACTTTATATGGGACGCCTCCACAGCATGGCTTGACAAGCGGTGCATCGGTCTGAGCCCGGGATCCGAACTTGCGAACCCCGGGCCACCGAAGTGTAGCGTGCGCACTTAACTGCTACGCCACTGGGCTGGCCCCTGAGATTCTTTTTTGTATGATTATATTCCTATGCAAATGAATAGAATTGACCTCACACAGTAAGGAGAAAATTAAGATTAGGCTATTAAAATTGCTGCTTTTCTTGAAAGAGCTTTAGGAATATGGGAAATTACTCCTTTTTCTCCACTCTGCCTCTCCCCTTCCTTCTCTACTGCCTTAACACACACAGCCCCCTATCTTTCCTAGTCCACAAACTGTCTCGATTGGTTCCACATTGCAGCAGGCATCTGGTTTGAATTAAATGCACCTGGTCTTTTCATCGACCTCTAAAGCCGGCTTGATCACTTGGAATGGACATAGTTAATAATGGCAAAATAAAAGCACGAATGATTGGTATCTGTGATTGGGTAGGTTTTTGGGAGAACCTTTGGTTGCAACTAACCCCATATATTTAAATAACAATACTGCAAGTCATCAAAGCATTTAGCAAGTCTCTCTGATTTTTTGAGTGAGCCTTTGTTTTTCTTCTTCTGTAAAATAAACAGGGGACTAGAATATTCAAGGTTTTCTTAAATTGAGGTATAATTTCCATACAGTGAAATGCAGAGATCTTAAGGGGCAAGTCAGTGAGTTTTGACAAGTGTATATGTCTCTGTAACCCAGTCAAGATATAGAACATTTCCATCACCCCAGAAAGTTCTCTTGTATGTATTCAGGAGCTCTTAACTTGCTGACCCTCCTAACCCTTGGATGCCTGTAGATAGAACTGTATTTCAGTATAATTAGTTTCTTGTATAATTTTATATATTTTTTTTATGCGTTTAAAATCATTACCTTGAGAAAGGTGTTCATGAGCTTCACTAGCTGCCAAAGGGAGTTCACGGCACAACAAAGGTTATGAACCCTAAGCAGTCACGTGATGATCTCTGTGGTGTCTCTTACATCTACAAAATAAATTAAAAACCACCTCAGAATCTCTTGGTGAAAAGCTGGAAAGGAAATTTAGAAGAATTATTGCTTACTCTCTCTCCTCTTATTCTCTTTACTCTGGTCATTCTGGTCTCTTCACTGTTCTTCAGACAGGCAACGTATTCTCCTGCCTCTGAAATTTTATGCTTGCTCTTCCCTCTGCCTGGAATGTTCTTCCCCTGACAAATCTTGATTGAAATACTACCTTTTCAAAGAGGCATTTCCATGGGCCGGCCCGGTGGCTTAGCGCTTAAGTGCGAGTGCTCCGCTGCTGGAGGCCCAGGTTCGATCCGGGCGCGCACTGACGCACCGCTTCTCCGGCTATGCTGAGGCCGCGTCCCACATACAGCAACTGGAAGGGTGTGCAGCTATGACATACAACTATCTACTGGGGCTGTGGGGGGAAAAAAATAAATAAAATAAAAATCTTTAAAAAAAAAAAAAAAACAGAGGCATTTCCAGACAGCCCTATTTAAAATTGTAACACCTCCACCCCCAACACACTTTTTATCCCCCTTTCCTATTTTATTTTTCTCCATAACTCTTACTACTATCTGACTGACATTCTATATAATTTATTTGTCCTTTTCTCTACCCCCACAGAATATAAACTCTATGAGGGAAGAAGTTTTTATTTGTTTTGTTTAATTCCGTATCCTCAGTAGTTAGAACAGTACCTGGAATATAGTAGCCACTCAGTAAACATTTGTTGAAGGTATTAAATAATAAACTAAATTGCTTCTTTGATAATTTAGTGGTTTTTAATATGGTGATGGTTAGTGGTGGGTAACATTCAAGAAATAAATTGGAAGGCTGCCCCTACTGCCCCTTACCTTCAATAAAGGAGAGTAAATTTTCCTTTGTGTTTCATGAAAGTTGTTTTTCATATTTGGAATCAAGTAAATAAAATCAAAGAAAATGCAAGTTGTGTTTTCAGAGAGATAAAAGATTTATAAGTAACACTTCTCTCCCTTGCCCCTCAGTATTTCAGCTAAACAAAAATAAGAGCTAAATGTGATTTACAGCCTAATTTATAAAACATTAGAGCCAGAGAAGCAGGAAATGACAATATGGAAAAAATGCTTTTGGAAAAGCATGAAACTTACTCATGATAATTACAAAGAGTGATCAAAAAGTCCTCACTAGTGTGGCATTTGGGTCCATTTATTTTGCACTTCCATGGGACTGAGTCATAAAAATGTAATGTTCTTTTTTGTTCTGGCAAATTAAACCATCAACTAAAAAACTCAGATACATAAAGATGCAAAAATGAAAGTTAATGCTAAATTTTCATTTTCAGTCAACTATTATGTATTTTCCAGCTTTTGTCTTTTTTATCAGTTTTCTGTTTAAAAAACTTAGGTTTTTAAACTAAAACTATTCATCCTAGTCATTATTAAACCTTAAACTCTTTTTTTTTTTTTTTTTTTTT